CAGGCAGAACCAACAATACAGACCCTCACAAAACCAGCGCGCTCCGCTCTGCAATTCAACCCGTTAGCAGAAATCTGCAACTCCCCCGAGACATGCAACAAGAAAGGGTCTGGCAAGGCAGGGACACATATGGCAGATGAGGGCAGGAATCCAAAAAGGAGGGGGTTGGATGTTTGGCTGGAGTAGCCGCTTGTCCAGAATCAGAACAGCTCTTGCAGATACAGCCTGGCACGGCAGCAGCTGTGTCTGTGAGGGGTTAGGAGGCACCTGCACACGAGCGAGCAGCAGTGCCAAGCCTGGCTCTGCCAGAACCAGGTACTGGGGCCATCCTTCCCTTCCTTATCCAAGGTCTTCACCCAGCACCTGATTTTAGGCTTACTTTTCCCCAGTTTTTTTCCCTAGCTTCTTTCTTGCATACTCATTTTTTTCACAATTCCCTGCTGCCCCTCTCCATATTATGCTTCAGTGACATGATCCATTCCTAAATCCCAGCCCTGCTTGCAGCGAGCACCTGGACAGTCTAACGGGGCCAGGAGGAAGGTGTTTGCTTCCCCCCAACTACTGGTGCTCCCTGCCAGCACATCCCCTGCCTGGGCCATGCTCTGCACCCCACAGGGCTCAGCAGAGCAGCACAGCCTCGCGGGACTGCACCCCACAGCCCCTTCCAGGGTCCTCGTTCTCCTGTCTGGATATGGTTTGGCACATGGGAAAGCATCTCAGAACATCAAGTCTATTCTGCTGACAGGCAGTCTTTTCAAGGAGAGCTCCACTGTGTATTTCCACAAACCTGGACAGCCCATGGGTTTTTTGCTGTCAAGTCTCCAATTCCCTCAGCTTTTACTGTCAGAAGGAATCCAGGAACAAGACAACATCTCTCCCAACTCCTTTCCCCAAGGCTCCCTCCATGGGCTCCAGGCAGAAAACAAAGATGCTTTAAAACCTGGCACACAGCTCTCCCTCCCAAAGGACTTTCCAGGGTCACCACATCTCCCTCGCAGTCTGCCAAGACACCACGTGCAGTGGTTGTCCCCAGCCAGCCCCTCCTCAACTCACTGAACGATGCCCCACGCAGCCTCCATTGCTCACTTTTACTACCCAACCTCCAAGTCATGAGGGCTCATAAATCCCTCCAGAGCCCAAACGTCATCCGCTGCCTCTCCACCAGCATCCACACTCACTCAAAAAATCTCCTTCCACACCCCAACCCAGATTCTTCCCCCTTAGAGCCCCTTGTCCTATTTCTTTTCCCTGATCAATGCCCAGCTGTCTCTTTGGTGTCAGCAATACGGAGCAAGCCCTTGGAGAGCTCACAGCCTCTCTCCTTGCCACAATGTGAATTGACCCCCACCCCCAGACTTTCAATAGAAACACATTATTTTGTTATTTTACCATCGCTCCTCCCTCTCCCACCTACATTCCTCGCACTCCGTTATTTCTAGACGGGTTTATCATTTTTTTTCATCTCCCATCCAAACACACACACACACACACACTCTTATTCCTCTAATTCCCGCCCAGCCTCCATCCTGCCAACAGGACAGTCCCTTTTCTGGACAGACCGATGATTGTCCGGACAGTGAATGATCATTCTGTCTATATATATGAACATGACGCACGGACCGCATAGAGAAATTCAATCAGTTATGCATGGAGGAAAGGCTTAGGTCCGTTCCCTTGACAACCAATGCCCGGTACTAAATACTTGCATTTTACTTGCCAAATACTACAGATTAGCCAACTAAAGCCTGCTTTCTCCTTCTTAAAAGGTCTAAACATTCAAGCACCGTCCACTCAGCGCAAGCAAGCTAATGTTATTAGACGAATATCTCCTGGCACACAAAGGGGGGGCAGCATTTGGGGGGCGAGAGGAGGAGAAAAGCAGTCTTGTTTTCTGTCTGAAAGCCAACTGCATCACTTAGCAACGAGCCCAGAGGCCTGCCAGAATTCAACCCTTGTTTGCAGCCTTTTAGTTCAGCTCAGTAAATTACATTTAACGCAAGCTGGGAGCGTCTGGGACGATTGAACGGCTGAACAAACAGCTCCCTGTGCTGCCCACGAGGTCCTCGGTCGGCTCCCGCCTGGCCGTGGGGAGGGCATCGGGAGGCGATGGGAATGGGGAGAGGGGCTGTTGGCTGAGAGAAACTGCTTCTCACCACTGAGGTTCAAGAGAGGGGGGCAAAGGCACAGAAATGGGGAAGGCAAGGGCTGAAAATGGAAAGGCGACCATCGCTCGCCTGCCGCTTGCTTTGGCATCGCTCCTTGGCACACCAGAGCCCCGTGCCAGGCAGCCCCCAGGCATTATCTCACTACACAAGCACCAAAATCTTTCCAGTGCCATCCCCCTCCTGCTGGGACCGTGGCTTAAATCAAAACCGTGAGATTAAAACACCAGCACAAAGGTGGTTTGAGGGGTTTCTCTGTCACTCCCTTTGCTAATGGATTAAGCACATGGAGAGGGGGTGTCCTCAGAGGTGGACAGTGGGGATGGAAGCCGGAACAGAGGACTGACTACCTCTTGCACAGGGAAGCAAGACTACCTCTTGCTTCCCACTGTGGTTTACAACATGCCCTTGGCTGTGAAGGGAGGCAAAGGGAGCTGAGGACGCCAAACTCAGCTCATGGCACACAGTCCGCACTGGGTGGCTGCTCCTCCCGGGGAACAGATCCTGCAGGGAAGCCCTAAGACACATGTAGGGAACCTACCTTTGATGCTGCTGAGAGACAGCGAGCGATCCCGGTCTGCCAAGCTGGGCCCCAGTTTGCTGCTGCTGCTGCTGCTGTTGTCCTTCTGCCGGGCCACAGCCACGGCGATGCCCACGGGCAAGTGCCTCACCTCCACCTCACCCTGGGAGCCGATGCTCTCACGGCCAAAGGATTTGGCACTCTCGGGTCTCTCGGGGTCCCGTTTTAGCTGCTTTGCTGGTTGCTGCAGCAGCAGCTGCTGCACCTTGGAGGCTCCCAGCTGCGCAGAGTCCAACTTCACGTTGCCCAAACCGCCGAAGGGGCTCTTCTTGCCGCAGCTCTGTCGGGACGCGGTCTCCTTGGCAAAGCTGCCGCTGTACTTGATGAGGCTCTGCATGGCTGACCCTTCGCCGTGCGAGGTGGGGTGCAGGACATCAGCAGCACCCCGTGAGCCCACCACTGAGCTCCGTGGCAAGCCACTGGGGTCAAGGTAGACCTTCTTAGCTTCCTCCTCCACCCGGGTGACGTGGTTGTGCTGAGCAGCCAACACCGCCATCTGCGTGGTGGCAAAGTTGCCCATCTCGAAGGGCTTCCACTTCTGCTCCGGTGGTTTCAGCTGACCGTGGTCCAGGTGCTGCCGGGAGGAGTCCAAAGTGCCATAGACCTTTGCTGCTTCTTTGGAGCTGGATCGCTGGAAGCGTTCCCGCTCGCAAGGGCGATGCTCTGCCTCCGGACTCGGCTTCAGCAAGTCCTTGGAGGCCAGGAACTCCCTGCTCTCCGGAGAGCCCAGCCCCGGTCGGTTGAGGAAGGGCTCTGAAGTGACCTGTCTCTTCAGTGCCATGGAGGTCGTCCTGATCACCGAGCCCTTCTCTCTCAGAACCTCCATCCTTTTGGCATCACTGTGACAAGAAAAGTCCTGGGACAAGAGCGTGCGGGAGGTATCCGCAAGGCACCGCTCTGTGGGCGACTGCAGCACCCCCACCTTGCCAAGGTCTTTGTCCTTCACCTTGTTGTCTCGGGCCTGCGAGGCGATTTGGATGGGCCCGCTCCTCTCGTCGTAGGCTTCGACCGAAGGCACGAAGGTGGGGGCGATGACTTTGTGCTCCCTCCCCAGCTCCTTGGCCGGCGGGAAGATGGTGTACATGCTGGAATGGACGGGCTGCGGAGGGAATGTTGTGGCCGGCGTCATCTTCCCCGTCTGCGAGGGGTGCGGGGATGGGCAGCTACAGGAGACGTGCAAAGCGCCCACAGAGGGCAGGAGGGGCTCCCCTCGCTTCAGCCGCTCAGCGTGGGCGTGCGCAGAAGGCCTCATGTTCTCGTCGTGCCGAGCGGGATCCTTGGCACAGCGGTCCTGCTCGGCGCCCAGGACCTTCAGCACGGGGTCCCCGCCACTGTTGCAGTTGCTGAGGGAAGAGCTCTGCAGCGGGTTCTTGGACTTGGGTTCCCCACTGCCTGTGCCCCGATTTGGCATGTGCTCGGCCAGGAACGGCGAGAGACGCTCGCCGACCTTCATCGCCTTCTCCACCACACTCACTTTCCGGTCGCTGTCAGGCTTGGTGTCCTGTGTGAGGTCAACCACACTGCGGGGCCGGGGCTCCTCCTTCGGCTTGCTCTCCTTCTTGGCAAAGGGCAGGGACAGATCGCTCCGGCATGCCCGCTCCTTCCCACCGGGGTCTTTCAGGCCTTCCTTCGAGCTCTTGTGCAGCTGCCCAAGGTCCTTTTCCCGGAGCAAAGTGCTCGACGTGTGGCTGCCCACAGTCCTTGAGAGGGGAGGCTGAGGGTGCAAAGCAGACTGGCCTGCATGGCCGGACAGGTAGAACCCATCTGCAGAGCAAAAACAACCAAAATTGGTTTTTGAGACAGGCAAGAGGTAGCAAATGGGGAAGGAACAGGTTTCAAGGATGCCTCAGACAGGAAGGCCCAGGGCAGAGGAGACCAAGCAGGTTTCTCCATGTGGGATGCAGGACAGTCCTGTCCTGATGCACACTGGGACTTCAAGGAGGGATCTGGTCAGCTTCCCTACAGCTCAGCTACATCCAAAACCTTGGTACTGCTAACACCAGGGAACATCCCTGGATGATCAGTCCAAGGGGTTCCTGCTCTTCACCCCCAACACCCCAGCACCCCGCAGCTCCAGCAGCCAAACAAGCCCAAAGGACAGGGTGAGCACCCAGGAGTGACCAGGAGGGCCAGAAAGGGCACACGGGGTCCCAGACTCACCTTTCTGTGACTCGAAGAGGCTGTGCTGTCCCAGTTGGGCCAGGAGCGGACTGCCGGCACTGGGAGGTTCGAGGTGGCTCAGGGGAATGTACGATGGGTAGAGACCGTTAGGCAGATGGGAAAAGCCTGCAGAAAATGGGAAACAGAAGAGGGAAACATGTTTCATCCCAAGCGGCACACTGCCTTGGAACGAGCCCCGCAGGAGCACAGACTGTTGTGGCTGTCGGTCCCTCGCGCGCCAGGAGCGCCGGCGGAGGGGACGCACACGGCAACAACACACACCACACACAGCCCACCGCGAGGAGCACTGCTCAGAGACCCCCCCTTTGGGTACTGATCCCCCACTGCTGGTCCCCCAGCTCACCCCAGGCACCTCTGCAGGGCTCCAACCTTGCAGCAAATGGAGCATGCTGCTACCCAAGCAGAGCCTTAACCTGGAACTAAACAACCAAACCACCTGGCTGATAAGGTGTTTTATCACAAGCACAGCAACCTGTGGGTGAGGACACTCCCCAACGTACTTCCAGAGCAGTGATAAGACCCTCTTGCCAACACAGATTTGCCAGCGCAGCCCATCCCAGCTGCAGGTGGCCATGACTGGGTATGGGCTTTGGGAAAACACGAGAGCATCCTTCAGAGCAGCTCACACAAAGCACTGTTTCTTGCATCCAAACCCAGCATCTTATCCCAGAGGAAGGCAAAAAAGAGCTCAAAACATGACACCCATCTATGAGCTGATATGAAAGCAGCATGTCCCCAAGGCCCTGCTGCCAGCAGTCTGGATGATGTCCTCGATACTCGGCCCCCCAGCAACATCCTCATGCAAATCACCATCATCAGCGCCTTCCTCAGTGAATACAATCACCATAATAGTGGTAATAACACATGCTCTTGGCTACAGGCAGCAATTCCTCTCCAACACTGCCACCAAACGACACCCGTGCAACACTACAAACTCTAACCCCTGCCAGAACCAGCATCCCAGTCAGTGCCATCATTTAAAAACTGAGTAAAAGCCATCAAGAGAGTCTGAAGGAGCCCTCTGCCACCCTCCTCCCTTCCCCTCAGCCGTCATTAGCAACCAACTTCCCCAAAATTCAACGATCCCACTGAAAGCAACAAGGCAACAACTTTTGTCAGGAGTCCAACATCCGACCGGATCAAAACAACATCACACCAAAACCCAAGGGGAGACATAGAAGTTCAGTCCCCGAAGCTGCACGTGGAGCACCATCTGCGAGAGCTAGTCAATATTTCACATTATTTAGACAGCCAGGATCTCTTTCGCGTACATATTTGCATCCCGGCATATGTGCTTCACCGACGCGGTGCTCCGCACAGCTCCTGGCCCAGATCCATCGCCCAACAGATCCCAGCGGCACCACCCGCACACGCCAACCCTCCAGGGGCAGGACCAGGGGAGCCACTGTGCCCACGAAGTTCAACCCTGAGCCCGTTCCCAGCAGGAAAATCTTGCTATTTAATCTTGCGCACGGTGCTGTAACAGTGTGTGCACGCATGTCCGCACCACTGCATGGTAACCCCAAAACCTGCACAGTGAAGCAGTTCCAAACACCTTTTCTTACTCCCGGAGCTGGAGAGAGCTGGGTAGAACCCAGAAGTGTTCAGCCTGGCTTAGCTGTGAGCAGCGCCGCTCCACAGCGTGTTTGCCTCGTCCGTGCCACCGTCGCCGCACGGCTCCGGCACAGCTGGGCTGGCAGTGAGCCAGCATCTGGAGCAGGAGCGACACATTTCCCAGGGAACGCGAGTCCCATCTGGCAGAGCACATGGTTGCAGCATGGCAAACCCCCTGGAGCACCCCATGCCACACGAGCCCTGCGGCCCCAGCCGCAGACGTCCCCACAGGAGCCCCTTCTCCCAGCCAGACCTCGGTCCCAGCTGCAGCTGCTCCAACAGGCGGGAACACCAGCATGGAGATCACAGCGAGACACATCCCATGCTGCAGATACCACTGAGCACAGATGCCCATGGCATGTCCCCACTTGCACATCGTGCAAGAACATGGAGCCACCTGCAGAGCTCCAGGGAGGGGACACAATCCAGCCCTGCCATCCAGCACCAGGACACCTGCACATGGCTTAAGCTACTGGTACCTAAAGAGGCATTTTGGTACCAGTTACATCTGTGGTCTTACTGGGGCAACCCCCTGCTTATCCCATCTTATTCTGCCCAGTAATAACACAGGGTCAGTCCCAGCCCCAAATGTTCTGGGGTTTCCTCCACAATCAGCATTATCACATCCCACTACAGTGACCCAGTCTCAGCACGGAGCTGCAGGAGCAGGAGGAGGAATGGGAAGTGTCCAAGATGGGGACAGGTTCAGATGGACATGCTGGAGACCCTGCAGGGCAGTGTCACCGTGACAGCTGGGGAAACAGCTGTAGAACTGAGTTGATGCCACCAGCCCAGCCCCAAAACCACCTCCCATCAGGCAGCCCTTCCCAGGGACTCCCACAAGTCCACGGCAGCAGCGCTGCTTCTTGGAGACGCATAAGCCCAGCACAGGAGCTCAAAGCACATCCCAAAGCTTTGCAGGTGGAGAAACTGAGGCGCAGGCAGGTGCAATGACTTGCCTGCATCACCAAGCTGGCCAGCAGCAAAACCAGAACACTACCTGAACCTCAGCCTCAAGTCTACCAGTGACGCTGTTTTCCCTTGCTAAGTGCCCAGAGAAGCTGTCCAGGTTGTATTTACCTGGCTTGTTCCCTGCCAGGAACCAGAGCTGGAGCAGGGATCCAAGCTACAGTCTTCCTGGGGATGAACCCAATGCAAATCCAACCCCGAGGCACTGCCAGAGCATCCCTTCCTCCTTACAGCCCTCCAGCAGCTGTGCTGACGGGCTGGCGTTAAGACTCACACACAGCCTGAAACCTGCTGCCCCGCTCCCCTGGGCAGGACCTGGAGGAGAAGCTGCTCCTCCATGCGCCGAGGAGCTGCACTCGCAGGAGGCGGCCGCGGGCAAGTCACTCCCTCCTTGGATCTCCGTGCCAGAAAGCGATGCCAAGGGGAGAAACTCTACCGCAGTGAGCAACTCACAGCTCACCCCAACCATGGGCTTCTGCCAGGAGAAAGGGAGGGGAAAAGGGGAAACCACAACCATCTCCATCCGCCCGGGGCCAGAGTGTTTGCTGAACCAGCGCAAGATCTGTTTTGCCCAGGGACACGCCGACAGGTCTCGGCAGGCTGAGCCACGCTCCTCCAGCCAACTGCTTGCCCAGAGGCGGGCTGGCACCACGGTGCAAGGCAGGGAGGTGCGAGTTGGCAGCACTGCCAGCCCCAGACTGGTTTTGCCCCCCTTTCCTGCCAAGTTACACCACGCCAAACGCGTGCGTGTGCCCATCAGCACGGCCTCTGACCGCCTGGGGAAGGCACCATCAACACTTATGCCAGCATGGGCACACAAGACCCAAAGCAGGCCAGCTCTGAGGGTAAAAGGATTTAAGCACAGAGGTCGTCCCTCAAGCCACCTTAATCCTGCAGCCAGGTGACAGCCAGCAGCCAAAATGCAACCCCTGTGATGCTGCAGCAGGTACAGAGGATTGGCACACCTGTCCTCCTCCTTCCCAGCTCCAAGGTGACAAAACATCCCTGTTTTGCACAACCGAGACATAAATCATGAAGGGCTGTTATTAAAGGAACTTGGCGGGTGCAGATGTGTCAGCCCAGTTGAAAACATCTTCTTCATCTTTCCCCAGTTCTCCAAAACGGCACGAGTTTGGGGGGAAGAGGTACAGCCGGGGGACTCACCACCAGGAGGGGATGTGACCGATGAGGAGATGAGATACCAGCAACCGCACAAACCACACACCAAACGTCTGGAGGCCGGAGGTTGTGCTGGGGGAAGTGGGAGGGAAACAGGCCCCACGTGCTCAGCCCGCTTGGGGTTTGCCAAAGTTCCCCATGAGGAGGGAGCCAACAGAAAGCATCCCCTGGCAGAGGTTCTAAACCTGTGGACTCTCTCCAACTTGGTCACCCCAGACCCCAGGCCTGAAATTCAGTCCCAGCTGGACAAGTCGGTCAAGTCTGTGTTTTGAAAGAGCCAGGCAGGAGGGGGACATGCTGGAGGTGACACGCTGGAGCTGAACACACCTCCCCTGCATACACAGCTGCAGCCAGTGAGCCAGGCTACATGTCTGATGTGACGTGGGTGTGTGCCAGTGCTGGGAAAACTGCTCCATCTCATTACACATGCAGGTGATCAGCTGGCACCTTCATGGCATCCCCATGCTGCCCTCCACACTGGCTGCCAACCTGGTGTAGAGGTACAGCTCACTTGAACACCTGTGAAGGGTCAAGGACAGTAAGTGGGAGCAACATGGTGACACCACTCAATGGGGAATTCACATTCCCGGTCAGGCTCCTTGTTTTCCAAACCAGCCAGAAGCACCAATGCACCAGGGAGAAGCAGCATCCACAAAGCCTCTGCTCATGCTCTGGGACGGGTTTCCAGTCTCTGCTGTTACAGAATCATAAAAGCATTTAAGTTGGAAAAGACCTTTAATCAGGTCCAACACAGCCCTGCTGGCCTTCAGAGGCAAGCAGGTGGCCACGTGTGATGCTGGCTGCAAAGCACACCCTGAAGCTGAGCCCTGGCCATGAGCCATCCTTGCCTGAGAAGCCACAGCCCTGTCACCCGGAAGACCAGTGGCCTCCAGCACCCCGGGAGAAGTGAAGTAACTCTCCCCCATCGGCCCCATCTGCCCGTTACACGTTTCTGCCACTTATGAAATATTTCCAACCGCAGGCATCTCACTCCATCCTCCCCAGGCCATGATGGATGGACACACTGCCAGGAATCAGGCTGGCACCACACAGTGCTCTGCGTCGGGCTGTGGCCGCAGAGGGGTCTGAGTTGAAAAGCTTGGCCCCTTGGACCCTTCAATCCAAGTCCAGCAGGGCTGGGAAACACAGCAGTGAGGCTTTAGGTTTATTTCCTTGGGGTGTTTTCCACTGTGGGCACTCAAGGGAGATTTGCAGCCCCGCTGCATTCAGGGTCTCAGCTGGCTTCTGGGCTCAGCGCAGAGCAGGAGCTGCAGCCGCCCTTGGCCGGGAGCACAGTCACCTCTTCCCCAGTCCAGCTCACAGTGTCTCACAGGCAGCCAACTGGGACAACAGTCCACACCACAAACAGCTGGATAAACGCTTATGTCCTCATGAGTCCCGCCAGGGAGGGAGGGGAAGGGGGAGAAGTCCAAGCACAGTAAGTATCCCTCCCACCAGCAGCAGGACGGACATCATACCAGCACCAGCTGCCAATGCTCACTGTCATCAGTGAGCCCGATCCTCTCCCTGCAGAAACAGCAGTTTCCCAGGGAAGACTCTCTCAGGGCTCCCCCTCCAGCACACACTTCCCCATCTCTGCCCCACGCAGGGGGCAGCTATTCCTCATGCACACATTTATGGCTACAAACAGCTGCAAGCCCAGAGTGCTGACAGTGTAAATCTTTGCCGCCTCCTCCCCTGCCTGCCAGGGCAGCTCTAGTGACACCCGAGGCACCGGAGCCGCCTTGACTCTGTGCCACACACGAGACACCAGCGATACGAGCCCCTGAACAAGCTGGGCTGAAACCAAAGCCCCCAGATCAGATGTGCCTGGACTGCAGCGGCGGCCGGTCCCCAACCCTGTCCCTGCAGCCCCAAACTGCTGCCACAACCCACCACTCCCCGCCCCAAAACCCGACCCAGCCATATTAACACCCCATGTCATGGGACTGGCAGTTGCTTCAAAGCCTTAATTTACGGCCTCAATTCTCTGCATCCCCTGAAAGCCTTCAATCCCATCCCCGGGATCCAGAACAGCCAGGGCAATTTAACTCCCCATTTAATCTTCTAAGGGCCCTGGCGAGCTCGGAGACAGCATCCTCCGGCGGGGGGTCCATGCTCCCGGCCTTTGCCGGCTCGAACACCACCGCGCCGCTTTTCCCTTCAGCTGCAAAAATCACTACCTTAAAAGCCAAGGCGAGTACTCCCTCCAGCTCAGAGCGGCTCTCTATTGTTTCTTTTAATTTTATTTTATTCCGCGTGGGAATCTTGTGTCCAGGCTGCTTTATTTTTAAGTGGCTCTTGCTCAATATTTACTATGGCTCGCAGCTGCGTCAGCACAGGAACACCGCGCGCTCCCGCTGGGTTTCCGACCGGCCCTCCCGCAGCCACTGCCCCGTGCCGATGCCGTGCCATGATTTTCCTGCCGTGTTACTTTTGCAGTGAATCACCAGCCCCTCCTCTGCAGTCAGGGCACACCGATGGGCAGGGTGTGACCACAGGGCAAGGGGGGGGGCAGCGGTTCCCTGCCTCCATGGAAATAAATATCATCAGGCTGAGTGAGCCCTGCCGCTCACCTCCTCCTCACCCGGGAGCTGGAACAGCCCCAACAGCCTGGAGATGGTGGAGGAGGAGAAAATGGGAAGAAGTGGCTGGAAGGGCTCAAGGGACTGGTGCTCGCGCCTCCGCTCTGCCCCCGGCGTCCTGCAGACTCAGTTTCCACCACGCCACAAGTCAAAGGCAATCCAAGGTATATACAAGCACATACTGGAGACAGGTATATACCAGCCTATATTGGAGAAAGACACCCGTAAGATCTCCCACCAGCTCCCCGTTGACACCATCTCCACGAGGACAGTGAGAAGCCACCCAGGTGGGGACAGGATTCCATCCAGCAGAGGTGGCTTTTCCTCCCACTGGAGGGACCAGGATGGAAACCATCCCACTGGGACTCTTGACATGATGCACATCCAGGCCACACAGCCTGAAACATGGAATCTGGGAAGCACCGATCCAGTCCCACATTAATCCTGATGCTCAAACCAGTGCCAACGCTCCTGGGTCACTGCCTGCTACTACAGCAGAAGCTTCTCCCACGTGCCCCCAGCCTGAAATCCACCACGTCAGATGTCTCTCCTTTTCCACTGGCATAATTAAACCTGACACGCCAACGGGGGTCCACTGAAACCTCCAGGCTCTCACTGCACAACCACACAGCTCTCCTCAAACAGCAAGGAGTAACTCAGTGGGTTCTTCAGCTCCACATTTACTAAAATGGAATATATGGAAATTGAAAAAATAATAATTTAAACTCTCAAACTGATTAGCAGAATGCCCAGGAACCCAGAACCTGGCTGCTAGATTGCAGTCTCGCCTTCCTCTCCTGATTTTCTAGGACAGCAGCAAAATGCGTTTGCTCTGGTCCATCCTTCATCTCGGTGAACACACTGGTGGCCAGCACAGGGGTCCTACCACTGACTCTGCTCCTAGCACACTTTCAGTACAGGTGCTCCCTCTCCTTCCTAAGCACAGAAATTTAGCTCATTCGATTTTTTAAAATTGTATTATTTTTTTAAATCACCCAAACTCAGTGCAGTAGACAATGCAAACAAGTGAGCCCCCATTCCCTGAGCCCTGCCCGCACATTTAACCCAGCACCACCCACACACCATCCCGTGCCTTCTTTAGAAAACAGCTCATTACCCTTCGCTGCCAGAGCCGGGAGAGCTACAAGCACTCGGTGGGGGGAGGTTACTGTGGGATGGCACCGGGTGCTGGTCCCCACATCACCTGCCCCGAGTGCCTGCCAGCAGCAATTAAATCAGCCTTCAAAGAGAGATCCCAGCTTTCCCAGCACCATTAGCCGTGCCCTGGAGGGAACACGGTCTATTTTCAGCCACAATGACTTCAGATCAGGTCACCAGCAGGTTAAATGGGACTGTGCAGCATCATCTCCCTGCCCTCCCATTGAGAAATTAAACACCGCTGTGTGATGGGCAGCACCAGCCCTGCCAACACACGCCAGGCGCCCACTGAAAGGTAAATGCCACCTGCCTGCTCCTCCCCTCGGCTTCCCATTGCTGGCCAGGGACATCCACTGCCCTGCCTGCCTTCCCTCTGCGTGGGGTGGTGAGTGGGATCACCCCTGGGTTCCTCCCTGCCTGTCCTCCTGCCCAGCACGGTGAGGGGTCACGGCCAGAACAGTCCACACCATGCCCAAGCCCGGGAGTGCTGGAAGGAACCTCAGCACCCCCAGTTCTGCAAACCCACACAACTCCAGACCAGGGCTGCTCATCTCGCCCCTTCCTCCAGAAATCAGGTGGCCCAACTGCAAGTCTCCAAGCCACCGGTTTCTCCAGGGTTTCACCACAGCCACCAGAGAGGCTGCATCTTCCTACAGCAGCTCCATCTGCTTCCCTGGTAGGTCCACCACTGAAACCCAAACAGTCACCCCACCATTAACATCTGGCAGGGAGGTGGCAGCTGGATGTGGGTTTGTTTTGCCTCCCAGGCCCCTGCCAGGCGCAGTCAGCACAAGCCAGGATGACTCAAAGCCCTGGGAGACGCAGCCTCCGTCGCTGCTTATTATAAACCCTCTTGTTTGCAAAGCAGCTGCCGTGGCTCAGCACCTCTTGGAGCGCCTTGCAAAGGGGGGTGGCACTGCAAGGGGAAACTGAGGCATAGCCCCCCATTTGGACCTGAACACCCCATCACCAACACGTGTGGGCTCAGCATTGGCACTGCAACCACTGCACAACACAGGGGTCCTGGCAGAGAGAGGGGACTGGCTCCCAGAAACACCCCAGGGCTGGAGCAAGGACATTGCCAATGACCCAAACGTGTTCATCAGCTCCAGCTTCATGATTCCCACTTGGATACAGCACGGCCAGGACATGGTAAGTGCAAGGTGAAGCCGGATGTACCTGCATGTAGTGCTCTGTGTGCCATGAGAGTGAACACATCCCTCTCCCAGAGCCCAGTGCTGACCTCCTGCAAGGACCAAAACCACCCCAAAAGAAATTCAACAACAGGCTGCAGGCATCTACGGGTGGAAGAAAGGGATCCACTCACAGATCACAACCCCATAAGCCTCTTTCCCTTAGAAAACCAGGCTCAAAAGCTCAGCCTCTGCCCAGCCTCTCCTCTTGACCCCACATTCGGCCCTTTTTCCTTCCAGAGGCTCCTGTCCTTCCCACATCCTCCTGAACATCAGTCTATGTCAGCTCTTCTGCACCAAAAAAGTGCCAGACCATGAAGCAAAGGGGTGTCTGTGGCCAGCAAACGCCCAGGACCCCACACCTCCCCTCTGCCGATAACAGGAGATAAACGCAGAGGCAAATATTATGGTGGTGTGGTTTAATCCCTGATGAATTATGCAAATCCATATTCAAATTGAAGCGCAGCCCTTGGGCTCTTGACAAATTGCCAAGCTGGCCCTGATGTCACCAGGCAGGGATGGCCAGCCCTCCGCCAGGTGAGGCACTAAATGGGTGCCTTATATATGTACATACACGCACACGCAAATGCTTCCAGATCTCAACTGCAGAGACCAAGGAGCACCTGCAAGGACAATTCAAGAGTGACTTTTGCACTTCTCCTTCCTCCCAGCTGCATTTAGTGTGTCCAGGGAAGGCCACCAGGTTTTTGAGTCCTCCACAAGATGGAAGCAGCTTGGGCTGATGGCGAGATTCAAAGCAGGACAGAAGATAAAATCCACCATGGCTGGGGCTGGGAAGGAGGGGAAGCAGAGGGGGGTGAGAGGGGAAAGCCTAGAACGCTTGTGCCAATAATAATGTCAGCCCTGAAGCCGAGGAAAGGAAGATCTGTCCACAAAATAGTCACAGAGAGGGCTCATCTGATGAAAGTAGGAATTTCCGATTCTACACAAACCCGAACATCCATTAAAAGTAGCAGAAGAATTGCTGCTTTGTGTCACTAATCTCATTAGGGAGAAAGCCCCGCTGTAACACAGGGATTGCAAAGGGAAACCCCGGCAGGCTGCACATGCCAGGAGCCCGGTACGGTGTGTCTGCCCGGCCGAGTGGAGCCGGGGCTTCCACCGGCACCCCAGCAAGGTGGAACTCACCTGCCCGGATCTTTACTCACTGGAGTATTATCTACTTGGCTTCCATGTGACATGGCATGTAGGATGTCCCCGCACTCAGGAGACCAGGACACAAACACCAGGACGACACACGATAACACAGGGGCTGCTTCATCCACACACGGCGACCGGCGCTGCCTGCAAGCAGCACAGAGCCCAATCCCTCCAAAACCCTCCTCCCCACCACGCTGGCCATTGCAATTATTATTTTTAATTTTTTTAATTAAAAGCAATTAAAGCAAATGGACCAAAAGCATATTCAAGCCACGGGGAATTCTGCTGAGATGGGATAGGGGCAGAAAGGGAATCAGGGGCAATACATCTAACCACCAAAGGTAAAAAGGGTTGTTTGCTGTCAGGGATGCTGCAGGATAAGATGGATGGAGGCAGAAGCAGGAGCAACCTTTGCAGAAGTTGCCGGGGATACAGCTCCAGAGAAACAGGGCTGAGTGCCTTAAAATCTACGTTATTCCTGTAAGAAAGCATATTCTCTCCTGAACATAGCACACTGCTCCGAGCCCACCATGTTTGGCTTGCCTGCCTGCATCCAACTCCCTCAAAATGGCTCTTTGGTCACTGCTGGCAATAAAATTTATTCCCAAGGTCACTTCAATCCTTGAGCCACTATTTCAAGTCTGGCGGGATTTAAACAAAACCCAGCCTCATACACACCGAGTCCCCCCTCAGCCCCTCCTTTCTGCCCATCACCTCCCTGATTTAGAGATACCAAACTCTCAACTACCTTTCGCTTCCCATAACCGTCAGCGACAACAGCTGGAGAGGGAAATGGGAGCATATTGTGCACCCAACAGCTGATCCTGGCGGTGTGGGGAGGGAGCCCAACTGTCACCACCACGGCACTGCCATACGGGGGGCTCCCGCCTTGCGTCCCCCAGCCAGCATGGACACAGACAGGGCTAAAGGGTTTGTGTGGTGCCGTCCCCTCGGTGTTTAAGAGCTGCAGAGAAGCGAACAATAAGCAAAGAAAAATCAACAGCAGGGAGAGAGGGCGTCGGTGGGTGCATCCCGATGCCTGCAGACATCCAGCTGTGCCGTCCCGGAGCGAAGCCAGCCAGAAACACGGGGCTAGGAGGAAACACGGGGAGAAGGAAACCACCAAATCTTCGTGGCCAGGGTGAGGCAGCCATGCTGGAGTGCTCCACTCCCAAACTTTGCTTTTTAAACAGCATCCCCAGGTGGAAAAGTCAGCAAGGGCCTGTAATGTCGGACACAGCACTGCTCCCTCATCCCTGCTCCACCGGCAGGGAGCTCAGGGCTGCCCTCGGCTCTTCGCAGTCCCAAACCCTGCCTGCATTTTCAGGTCATTCAGGGCGCACCGTGCTCTCCATTTCAGCAACGAGGCCGAACAAAGCACTCCCTTGTCCTCAGCACCTCGAGCAGGCGATGCTGGATCGCGTTACCTAACCCAGACCAACATCTCCTCATCCCGGCACGGCAGCTTTCGTGTCAGCACATGCCAGGCTGGCCCCGATTCCCTGCACCACCTCCCGCCCGAAGCTTTAACTGGACCAGTTTAGTACACGGTGCAAACACACGGGGCCTTGTTCCGACTCGTCGGCGCTAACCCCAGCTCCAGGAGGTGATCCGACACCCGCCCGCCGGTCGCAGCCGCGGCAGAACCGCAAGGCGCTCACCTGGAAAGCTGCCGTAATGACGTTAATTCCCCTTAACAATGTTCATTTCCATATTCATCAGAAGATGGTGAAATGACAAGATGGGGGGTTATTTACTGGATAATTATAAACTAATTTCAGCCTTACCCTGGGTTATCCTAGGAAGGAGATCTAAAATTTCCCTTACGAAAGCCCTGCTCTGGTAGCCACGTCTGCAGCGAGATTAATTCCCAGCGATTTCCATTTCTCCAACAGCTGCTGTGCTGGGAAAGAGCAGGAGCCTGTCCCCAACATCAGGGACCTGCCCGGTGCCCCATGCCACCACCAGCTAGGATTTCTAGTACCGGCTCATTCTCCGGATCAGATTTTCTCTGGCACAACATCAGTCAGAGACGGAACCTGTGGTTTTCCAACCCCACCAAGGAGATTCAGTGCTGGGTGGGGGGCAA